TTAGAAAAAAAATGAAAAAGTATCCTCAGGGTTTTAGGTTTTTAACTAAGAGTGGGTATAGAGTTTTACTGCATATTCTTAGAGAACCACAGAACCCCAAGCTGATTAAATAAACTTCCATGAAAACATGATGTACTAAATTAGAAACAAAAAGAAAAATTACTTACCCTGAAAATTTCTTCTGATTTCTGGAGACTGTGGAGTTTAGCATTCAGCTCCTGCAGCCATTTACTGATAGCAGACATACCCAAGCAGAGCAAACTTTGCCTTTCCCAGGACACAGAAACTATGTACATGAACAGAAAGAAAATCACCCATTTTTACCTCTAAGGTGAAATTACTTGTGTGCTCCTTTTCCAGCTTCCCCATTAGATCTTAGTGCATGTTTTATAGCTGCTTTTGAATGCATCCGTTTTCTCTAGAGGATTCGGGAGGGACCCTAAACTGAACGTTGCTAGGGTCACCCGCTGAGAGGTTCTGTCCTTGGTGCTGAAAGAGAGATGGAGTAGGCATAAGCAGGATCCGTCTACCTCGCTCTCCTCTTTTCCCTCTGTGCTTCTATCTGCTCCCGTACTGTGCTTTTAAGTACATGTGTATTTTTTTCCTTAGTACCCTTTTTGATCCCAATGTTTCCACTTTCTTTACCTTTATGCTTTAATTTTTCTTGAATAACTCTCACCTTCCTCAGTTTAACTGCCTTTCCAGCTTTCAGTGATATAAAGATGATTGGTTCAGAAAAAGGAATAGATCAACAAATTGATACCACAAATGGTTAATGGAAATCAGTACGATTTAAAACACAATTGACAGAATAATTGAGCTTGGAGGTGTAAGCTTGTCTGGGAAAAAAAGATTAAAGGAAATATATTACAGTGGAAGCAAAACTGAGGCAGAGAGCATAACTGGTGATAAAGATGAAATAAGCTTAATACTATGAAAAATGTTAAATGTCTATTTAGCAGCACTTCTTATTTTCAGAGAACTTTACAAACATCTGCCAATTTATTCTTACTGCTCCTCTGTGATATATGTGAGTTTTTTTTTTTTTTAAACCCAGGTTTAGAACAAGCTAAAGTGAGAGGCAACCAAGGGCAATATCAGTGAAAGTCAGTACTAGAACATAGACAATCTTAATTATGGTCACCTGTTTATCCAACATCTTATCATGGAATGCTACCTATTTCCTGTTCTCTTGTTTTAAACTTTTTCTCCTCCCTCTAGACAAGGTGGTAATTCTTTCTCTATTTTCTCTGCCAACAGTGGATATGCTTGGCAGCTGCAGTGCAGGCAGACTGTCGTAGGGAAGCTAATGCTCATTTGATTATGATGGAGACCTCTGCTGGCTGAGAAAGAGGCAGCAGCAGCAGCAAGGTCTAAATATTGCTGTTAATAACAAAAACCATCATTTACTGAGCATGTACTATTAGCCAGTCATTTTAATGCACTGCCTCTTTAAATCCTTTCAAAAATAGGTGCTATTTTTACTATCCTTAATTTATACACAGGGAAATTAAGATTTAGAGATGTTAACAATTTCTGAAGGTCACACAGCTAACAAGTGGTGGAGCCAGGATTTGGATCTAAACATCTTAATTTTCTTAACCACTATGATATAACTTTTCCAAAGGTAGAAAATTTAGATTTCCCAGGAGATTGACAATATGTTAGAGAGGATAATAATTATAATGACAACAATAAGGGTATTAATAATAGAATATTTGTATGGTGACTTATTTAGAATACATTTTCTAAGTCATGTTCTTGTCTGTACCTTACATCAATTTTATGATGCCTATTTTTAAAGAGGCTGTTACGGACTATTCTATGCCCTTCCAAAATTCATATGTTGAAGCCCTAACCTTAGAAGGTGACCACATTTGGAGATAAGATCTTTAATGTGTTGATAAAGTTAAAATGAGACCTTAGGGTATGCCCTAATCCAGTATGCTTGGTGTTCTTATAAGAAGAGGAAGAGACACCAGAAATTTGCAGACAGAGGAAAGGCCACATGAGGACATGGCAAGATGGCATCTGTCTGTAAGCCAAGGATAGGGGCCTCAGCAGAAACCAAACCTGCCAACTGGTTGATCTTGGATTTCTAGGCTCCAGAACTGTGTGAAAATTAATTTCTCTTGTTTAAGCCACCCGGTCAGTGGGAGTTTGTTATGGCAGCCCTGATGAGCTAATACAGAGGCTTAGAGAGGTTAGGTGTTATATGTGAGGTTGCTTATGATTTATTGGGCATAAATGAATTAGTTATGTGGTATAACTATATCGGCTACACACTAAGACTAGAACTCCCAGCTTGAATGTGAACTCCTGGCTCTTCTTCCCTTAGATTAGGGGGCCAAGAGACTATGCACTGCTAAATCTTGGCTTGTCTGAAATATAAAAGCAGGGAGGGAGTAGCTGTAGGGCAGTGTGAGCAGAATGAAGCAGAGGCATCCTAAGGAGTTGGGGGCCTCAAATTGCTCATTTTCAGCATCATAGTTTTAACTTTCAGTATCCTACATTTATTTTTTTTTAATATTTGAAGGTATTATGCCTAATGATAATATTGCCCTGATAATGCATGAATGTAGCAGGAAAGACCCTATTTCTAGACTTTCTGTGTTAAGAACACATAGTATATATCCTTACAGGGCAGCTACAAATGCTGGCAGGATTTTCTTCAGCATCTTTGTAGTGCCTTTCTTTGGCAAAGTTCAAAGGAAGATAAAGAAGGATAAAGACTCTTATTCTAATTTTGTGTAGGAGCAACAGACAGGAAAATTAACTGACATGCCCAAATTCACACATTTAGGCAGCAACCCAGTCTCAACTCAGCTGTCTCTCTGGTAGACGTCCTGATTCCCCTGGTGAATGGGAAGGGATTGGTGCAGAAAATAGGAGGGGAGAGGGGCAAATGAGTGGGTCCTTTCCTTCAGGACTCCATCGTAGGTGAAGATCAGCACTTGTTCCTTTTAACCTTGCATTTTTCATTCATATTCACAACACCAAACAGGTTTTATTCTTTTAAGTAAATGGAACTCTTATTCATGATTGGCATTGAAGATTTCAAGATCTGCCTTCTGGGAAGAACTCCAGGACGCCTACAGAACAGACACGCCTGGGTAGAAATCAAGAAAAGTACAGATCATTTTTCTCATCTTCCTTCCAGGAACTCATCTCAATAGCATGACTGGAACATTCTCATGTACCAGCCAATGGTGCTTCATCAGGAAAGTCTTTATCTTTTGAACCTGAAGTGGGAGGTGTGGAGGAGGAGTGGAGAGGTAGTGGGCTTCTGATATGTAGGAATGCTCAGTGGTTTTGTTTGAAAGGAAATTTGTGTGAATTTTGTGGTAGAAATATTCTCTTCTGGTCTTTGAAATGTTGCTCCAGGGAACAATACAGAAAACCTTGGCTCGAGCACCAACTATTGAGTACAACGTGACTTTCTCATACCACTTTAGACCCCCACAGAGCTCCCACTCACCAGGACAGTTTGGAGACCAAAAGAACTAGTGTGGGGAGCCAATTTGAAGGGCCCTGTATGAACAGAGGGATCTTTTGTTTCCAAGTCTCATTCTAACTAGCGTTCCTTACTATGAACTGGAAGATCTGATTATCATGATGATTTTAAATTGTATGGATACTGATCTGGTCTGAAGAACAGCCCCAAGTGTGTTTTTCACTGGAGCCAGACCTCAAATTGTAGGAGTACAAACTTAAGTTGGCAAATGGAATGAGTGGACCAGGCAGTACGGTTGTTTCTTCCCAGCCCTCGCCCCCATTCCCCTCTGATGAGGTGTTGCAATAGATGAGAACTTCTGAGCAAGCCTTAGGTTTTATGTTTGAATTCGTTGAGCTGCTGCAATACTGTTCTTGAAAGAAAAATAGCTCAACTCATTTATTATTTTTTAGTCCTGAGCTCCAATATTGCTTCCTTTCTACCAGAGAATTACAGCAAATAACAAGAAGCCTTCTTAATCAATCATATTTGTACCCACTCTACTCTTACAGGTAGCAAAGTAATTGCAGGGAAGGAAATAAATAAATGATATTTGTCTTCATATCTACATCTACCTTTCTGTGTGCTTGCATTTTGCCTCCTTTTTCTACTTCTATTTTTATTCTTTAACCTATTTCCCTCTTGTTTCTTTTCTAACCTCCATCATTTTCTGATCTTTTATTCTTCTAACTCTTCCTCAATTTTTTCCAATCTGTTCTATATTTCTTTTCTTCTTCCCTAACACACACACACACACACACACACACACACACACACACACACATATAGGAATGGGGATGGGCTAGAGTTAGAGAATTTTTTGTTTTAATAAATTTATCATTTGTTCAAAAAGGATTTGGGGTTGATAGGTGTGACAGGTGGTATTTTACAAAGATGATCATGATTTTATGTTCCATTCCTCATGCTCTTCTAGAACTTTTGCCATTCCACTCGCCCAAGAGGTACAGTCTTCTGTCTCTCTTCTTGAATCTGGTAGGCCTTCATGACTATGTCAACTAGTAGCAGAGTGTGGTAGAAGTGATGCTATGTGATTTTTGAGGCCAGGTCATAAAAATGCTGTATATTTCTACTTTGTTCTCTTGAGACACTTGCTCTTGGAATTCAGTCACCACGCTATGAGAAAGCTGAAGCATCCCAGGAGGTATCATATGGAGAGGAACCAAGACTGTTGTCCCACAGCCCTGGCTGAGCTCACAGCTAATTCCAGCTGAAAGCCAGCATCAACTAGCCAGCCACAAGAGTGAATCATTTTGAAAGTGGCTACTCCAGTCCCCATTTGAATTGTCCTGGTTGATGCCATGTGGAACAGAGACAAGCTATCTTTGCAAAGCTTTGCCCACATTTCAAATTCATGAGCAAAATAAATGTTTGATGTTGTTTTAAGCCAATAATTTTGTTATGTAGCAATAGATAATAGATAAACTGAGACTCAGTCTTTCTAGAACGTGTCATATTTAGTTTTCAGAAAGAGCTCATCTCCAATTCTATTGAGTTCCATCTTATTTTGAGGCAACTGCCATTTAATTATTTAGTGTGTTTTGTTTGACTCTCAAATGCTGTTTATCTTACCTTATAAATTTTATAAAACCTTTTTCCTCAAAATATGAGCCAAGGACCAGGACCAGCAACATCAGCTTCACTTTGGACGTTGAAAGGGAGAATCTTCGGCCCTACCCTAGGCTTACTGAATACAGAATTTGCACCATAACAAGACACACAATTATTTATTAAAGTTGGAGAAGCAGTGTATAAAGTATAAGCCTATAAAACAGACGCACCTGTAGACACCAGACAGAGAATTTATTATTTTTCATTTTCTTTTCTTTTTTAATTTTTATTTTGTTAAAATATGCATAACATGAAACCTACCATCTTAACCATTTTTAAGTGTACAGTTGAGTGGTATTAAATACATTCAGAATGTACAACCATCACCACCATCCATATCCAGAACTCATTTCATCTTGCAAAACTGGAACTCTGTACCCATTGAACAATAATTCCCCATTTCCTCTTCTCCCCCAGTCCCTGGCAACCACTATTCTGCTGTCTGTTTTTATGATTTGACTACTCTAAGTACCTCATATAAGTGAAATCATATTGTATTTGTTTTTTTATGACTGGCTTATTTCACT